AAGGTAAGTGGACAAAGAGAGAGGGACGGAGGGAGTATCTTGGTAATCTAACTCAACTGATCTCCTTCCAGCTTGTTCAACATAATCTATTTAGCTGCTTTTTTACCACTGACTTCAATGAAACCCTCATCCTTCTTCTGGGAAGTAGTTTCAGGTTGATCCTTATTCCCCTTTTATCCTTCCTGCACTTCCTCTTTTAAACCCACTCACTCATTATTTTGTTTATTCTGTTTAGGTCTCCATATCATCCTTGATTGTCCACCTATTTGCTTCATCATTTCCTTTTTCCTACAGGTTTCTTGCACATGTCCCATCCTTTTGCAATGAGAGCATATGCATGGATACCATTCATAATCAACCTTTTGAGTAACTACTATGTCTTCCTCATTATCAAATATAATCTCCTATGGGAAATCCTGATGAGCTCTGACTTCAATTTGGATTCTGGGAAGATTGTGTGTAGCTCTGACTTCATTTCCCAGAATTCTATTCCAAAAGAAGGTTCTACTTTTTCAAGGAAATACTACCTCTGTCCCAAAATGTTTGACATCACACACAAGGAAGCAAAATTTCAAGGTTTTTCAATTCATTTTATTTAAAAATTAGTATAGAAATAAAAAATAAAATTTACATATTGAAATACTATGTCAAAACTTCTTCAAAACAAGAGTTGACAATATTTTTTATTTTATCATACTATCGATGAAAACGTACAAATATACAAAAAATTCCGTGATTTTGAAGAGTGTGTACGCAAACCTTACCACCACTCGAAAGTAGGGCGGCTGTTTCCAAAATACCCCCCCAGGCTCAAGTAACACATAAAGCAGATAGCATAAGCTCACAAAAGACACATATCGGGTCAAATGTGGAACCTTCCTCTGAGACACAGGGAGTAGATTATAGATATAAAACAAAGTGATTGATTGTACAAGAATATTGCATTTAACGTCAATTACAAAAAATTGATAATTACTTTGCTAGTAGCATTGGTGATCAGAGGAACATGCAAAGAATGCAAGAAAAAAATCATCATAAAACAGCAATTGCATATATACAACAATTCAGAACTGCAAGGAAAAACAAACTAAAAAAGAGAGACCGTTGAATGCATCCTAAACAGGAGAATAAAATCATAAGATTGCAATAGCAGAGACACAACTGTCTAGAGTGCCAAAGGGAATAGACTAAATGTATACTGCAAAAAACTCATAGTTTAACCATGGCATCAAACAATCTTTGGTTTGAAATGACTTGTAAGTGGTGACTTTTAATTAATAAAATGTGAGTGCAAACATTATTGAATTTAATCATTCAAAACTTCATCCCATTATTTGAGAGCAAAACAATGCAGCATGAAGGACTGTGCTTTGTTTTTTTGTTGTTTCACAAGCATTTGTAAAGCATAGACTGAATTTCATGAAAGTGATCCCATGAATCAAAATAAAGGTGTTACGTTGAGAATGACGATGAAAACATTCAATGTGAACACTTTTTTTTATTAAAAAAAATTGCCAAAAGCAAACGATCAGCTCATCTAGAGTGAAAATCAATCCTTTTAATCAATTAGAAAAGTAAACATTTCTAGGGATGCAACCGTGCAGTTGGATGGTAATTTTTGCCAGATAACTGTAGATATGAAGTACAACTTACCTTAAATTTTGCAGGCCCCACCACAAACAGTAGCAGTATTTAGATATGAAATCCTCAGAGTCAACTACACCAGATGACACAGCATTTGCGTAAATTCCATAGTTAAATGGCGAATTGTCATCAACAATACAATTGTTTTTGAGAACTTCTTGAGTGATATTTCTCCAGGCTGGCATATCTATCTGCCCTTCTCCTTCACGCGTACAATACAGTAGGGAAAATCGTGCATTGCACTCTTCACTACCTTTACATGCTTTCTGCCAGCACGCATCTTTACGTTCCACAGCTAGTAGGTACCAAAAGGCCCCAAATATCTGCATATTAGCCATACAAGCATGCATACATTAGATGGGTAAATTTCCACTTCGTATCTAGGGCCCCTGCTTCGTATCTACAGAAAATTACTCGCGGGTGACGCGAGTTTTGTCAAAAGAACTTTCAGGTTCCTCTATTTTCAAAAAGGCAACCGAGGTCCTTATATTTTGTTGTAATGACTGGGAGGGGACATTGCATCCAATACATCATCCGTAAGTGTTAATAAATGTATTTTTCCCTATTTTTCCAATACTTTTTTTTCCTATTTTGCCATTACCTTGTTTTTTCATTTTTTAAAATTTTTTTATTTCATTTGTTTTAATATAATACAAACACTTTTGAATTTTTATACGATTTTATAGAAGAAATTCTAAAATAACACTTTAAAAAATAGTAACAAAATGAAAGAAAAACAAAGAAATAAAAAAAAGGAGCGACCTAAGATTTATTACCTTAAAACATTTAGAAAAGAATAGGAAAAAGTACATTTATTAACGTTTATAGATGAAATATTGGATGAAATGTCCCTTTCCAGTCATTACAACAAAATGTAAGGACCTCTGCTGTCTTCTTGAAAATAGAGGGACCTGAGAGTTATTTCAACAAAACTCGCGTCACCCGTGAGTAATTTTCTGTTCGTATCTATGGCCCCTGCTATCGCCTGCCCCTATGTTTTGAAAAAAAATGTCTATGAATCAAGTAAAAGATGTTTTTTCCCCTTTTTTACTCATTTTAAAAGGTAGTTCTACATTGTCCCCTATGTTACACAAAATTGGCACAACCCCTGTGTTTTTTAATAAGTAACACCATTGGCCCCTATAACTAGTAGTTTCATACACGCACACAAAAACACAAGTAAACACTCTATTAAATCAAGCATAAGATTATTCTACCCTTGATGGAGAAAATTACCTCAACCAGGCTTAGCATTTCAGATCAGGTCGGACCAGAGGGTGAAAGCTTGAGAAATTATTGCATGAGAACTACTGAATTTTTATATGAAGATGGTAAAATTGATTTTTATTGTGGCCTTGGTCAAGCCTTTTTCTAGGTTCCCTTACCCCTTACTTTTGAGGATTGTTCCCCCCGGAAGGTTTGTCTTCCGTATGAGGGGCTGGCTTTAGGCCTCGGTTTGGTCCTCCCCTCCTTTTGTATCCTCATGCTTTCTTAATAATAGCTGGTAAGGGTTGCCTAGACCTTACCCCACCGAGTTTGGTGGTTTGCCCGCTGGGATAAAAAAAATTCATTTAATAAAGTGTAATGAATTTTTTTATGCACATGTATGATATTGGACATTGGGGCCAATGTTGCCACTTATTTTAAAACACAGGGGCCTCTAGTGCCAATTTTTGGTAACACAAGGCCAATGGAGAACTACCGGTTCTTTAAATGAAGAAGAAATGAGTAAACGCGTGTTTTACTTGATCTGCTTTTATTGTGTGTGGACAACATTGAGGGGCATATAGGGGCTAGTGGTGTCATTTATTTTAAAACATGTGGGACAGCAGTCCAGCAATACCTATTTCATTTAAAGAAGGGCCAAGGGTGCCAATTTCGGATAACACGGGGGCCAATGGTATCAATATTCACTACCCTTTATTTTAAGTGGTCTAGCATGAGTTACGAATTAAGATATTGCAAATGCCACAGCTAATCCATTATTGATCATACACACATTCTATTAAATGGAAATAGATATGTAAATAGAAATAAGAAGTATGAAAAGGAAATTTCAATTCCATGGTAAGACAAACAGCGCAACTGCATTGCACACAAACTGATTTAGAAAAGCACTTTTAGCACTAGACATAGTGCGAACCAATTCTGCAAAAGTCCAAAGTGGAAACCATCCAAAACCAGAACTCCTATGAGGAGAAATTATATGATCAGAACCTTTTGGCAATAACCTTGAATAAGATTTCATTATCTGAGGTCTCCTTTGGAAACAATCTTTCTACTGCTCAGTGTATAGATGAGGTATGCCCACATCTAATCCCTCCACCCACGCACCCCAGTGAACTTATATAAAAATCTTAAGATGGTGATGTATGATATCATTCGGAGTAGGCTTTTTGTTGTGTTCCAAATTTCTTTTCACACACACATAAGTTTTGATAGTGATCTTTTTGTAATCTGATTACAAATTAATAACCAGTTTTCTGGCTCCCTGGAGTTACTAAATTTAGTCTAGATGTCCTCTATGATGATAACATGGGATGACTTACATCAATAGCGAAGATATAAGATTCTGATTTTTTACTATGGTATTATCACACCTGTTTGTGCAAAACCAAAAAAATAACTTTACGAGCGTTTTACTTAGGTTCTTATGCTTCATTCGTGGTTAGAATAGATTTTTTGGGTACGAGGCACAAAAGAAACTTGATAATAGACAATGTGGAGTTTTTCACTCACCACATTTACGTCAGTATGTACCCCATGTATAAATGTATAATGTCGATTGCCCATTTACCAGCATTAACTCCATGCATGCACACACATGCTTGTATTGGTATGTAATTCACATGCAAGGAATATGAAGATAGAAATAAATGGATTGCACATTTTTGCTACAGCCAGATAATACTTTGCAAATGTAAGAGCAAAGATATTTTCTTATAAGAGGAGAAAGGTAAAAGCACGAGATGTTATGTGTTCAGTTACATTGCCATTGAAGCAAAAAGAGAGATCGTTGTCATCATTAGTGGTAAGCGCACCCAGAGTAACCGCACAATCTGGGATGAGATGGAGAAGATCAAAATATGTTGGTAGAAAACCATTACGAAGATCCACTTTTTTTATCGAGAAATTTATCAACAAAGATGAACCTTCTTCTGAAGGTCAGCTCGATAACTCCACAATACCAGTACCACTTTGTCTGAATGTTTTCCATCTACCCAGTTGTACGTCTTATGTCATTTCCATATCCTGAACATAATATTTATTTATTTTGCTAGAATGTCTCCGATGAAGTTCCTTCTATTCATTTTGCACGTCATGAAGATATAGAAAATGATGCTAAAGAGTGGGAAAAAGATGTTGATATGTGGAGTCCTATAAATTGTTTGGTTGAAGTCGCAAATAGGAGTAATTCTTCAAGGTTATTGCCAAAAGGTTCTGCCCTAAAATCAGAACCATCACATATTTCTGACATCGATGGATATGTCTGTGAAGTTATCTGAGGTTCTTTTGGAAACAATCTATCAACTGCTCAGTGTATAGATAAGGTATGCCCACATCTAATCCCTCCACCCACGCACCCCAAACCCCACTCTCGAGTAAACTTTACTGAGTTGATTTTGGTATACAAGACATGATATATTACTAAAATAGGGTTACCCATGAAGGTACTCACATGACTAGCAAGTGCAAACCACAGCATATAATATGCAGCTCCAGCCCATGCAGTTTCTGCAAACACACCAGCGCTCTTTTTCAACTCTGAATTTAGAGGTATAAATCTCACAAATCGAGGAATATACTGAAGAATGACAATGACCACAAGAGCCCTTTTTGTGGCCACTACATCTGAACCCTTTGATCCATGAAGGAATCTCCAAACCACAATCTGCAGATCACGTGGAATTCAAATATAGAAATAAATGTTTAAAATCAGACTTCTAGACACGCGTGATGTTCTTCCACATCCATTACTAATGAAGCTAAAAGATTCATCATAAAGTGTTTTATTATAAGCGACGAGTTCTTTCCCATTTCTTTTTAACATGGGTACGCATCCTGGCCCCCAGACCGCGCTGGAGTTGAGATTATAGAGGGTTTTTTGTTGCTTTTGTTGTTAGTCGAGACGTTTCCTCATTTAAAACCAAGCACCATGTTTCCAATGGAAGAAAATATATTTTTCACACAAAATAAAACATAACCCAGTAGCTTACACGTTGTGCATGTAAAATTACAAATTTACAATGGATAACTGAAACAAACCTGGGGTACAGGAAGAATAGAAAGAAGATCAACTGCAAAGTAACGATGTATGTATCTGTTGGCAATTTGTTGTGGGTCTATTACAAGTTCACCCCTCCCAAATACCCGGGATGAGGGAGCAATATAAGCCGTGCGGAATTGGAGAATAATCCGGATGACGTAAAATGAATCAATTATTGTCCGCAGAGTTGTAGTTGTATAAGCTAAACTGGCATGTAAACGAAGACAGCTATCTTCAGTCTTGAACACCGGAAGATAGAGAAAAAGAGGATCAATTGATACAGATAATATACAAGATATGACCAAAAGCCTATTCCATAGTATGAGAATCTTGTCCTGAGGATCAAATATATTTTGTTCTGAGACTTTGAGATCCTCCGGGAACACTGCTCGTGTAACTCCAGATTTTAGTGATCGGCCAAATGTCAATAGTCCTTCAGACCCTCGTATCATACCTAGTTTGATTGACTTTGGTGAGTTTGTAGAGCGACCACCAGCAGTCAATCCCTCTAAACTAAACCCACATTTTCTGATTCCAGCCATGTCTGATTTAAACGACAACCTAGAATCAATGTCGTCCAACCTATAACCCCAGACACAGAATTTATTACTTAAAGCATCATTAGAACAACACTTAATTGTTTGAAATTAGAGAAAAATCATCAGATAACCGCTGGCTTATACGTTGTACATACCTTACAAATTTTTCTTTGTGCCCATCAATATACTGTGACTTGAACATTGTGCAGAACCGAATTCATAGATTGTGAATGGTTAGCAGAAAGACTCAGCCAGCAGTGGAAACAACCCTTCGGATTCCTTTGAACCGCATGTGGACACAAGAAAGAGATATCAGAGAGACAAAGCCCTTACCATTGCATATTTGGACAAGTTTGAAAATGTAAGTTTGACAAGGTATCATTTCACCATATGCCTGAAAAAAGAAACGAAGAACTATTATTTTTTTATGTTTACTTTTGAAAACAGTTCCCAAAACTCCACTTTGAGCTATTAACACGATTTGATGCTAATAAGTTTCATTCATCCAACGATTATAATCCCCTAGAAGTCACCAAAATGACTTAAACAATCATCTTTTTACAATCAAATCAAACAAATGAATAAGTACTAGAAATAAAAACATAACTAAACTGCTTTACCTACGCATGAAAAGTAGGGATATTTCTAAGGGAAACCCAATTCAAATGACAACGAAAGTGTAAATATCCTAAAGGAAGATCAATTTGATTTTTCTGCCGTTTGGCAACAGCTTTAGCTTTTAGCTTTACCATTTTGAAAAGGCTATCTAGTTTCATCATTAAAAAGGATGTTTCCAACCTAATGCAGAGAAAAATTATGAATTATTAAATGAATGCTTAGAGGCCAATCCATTTGTGCACAAACATCATATCAATTGCATTCACCAGAAATTGTGTTAAGTTTGAAATGCCAAAATGTCACGAAATTGCAGCGATTTTTAAAAACAAAAAAAAAGAAGATGAAATGAGAATTACTAGAAGAGGCTTCCGGCGTTGGATTTTGATCGATGCGGGTGAAGTGTAGGCGTAGAGAGTCGGAATGGATCCTCTTTTTCCTTTCATGGGTGCGCGCCAAACTCGCAGCGTTGTTTGAGGAGGCGTTTCCAATTGAATGAGTTGATCATAAGGAATAGGACGATACATTTCACATATGCAACACTCTCTGCTAACCCCACCCATTTGTTTTTCCATCCCAAACTAGCCAACCCCACCTCATCTTCATTTTTGTCCATTTTTTTACTTCTTTAAAATAAAATTAGTAAATTCCATAAAATGTCCTCAGTTATAAATCGTGTTACATATTTAGTCCTTACATATCAAATATAACTAATTTAGTCCCTAATTATTATATCATTTTTCACGAATGGTCTTTTATTGACGTTTTTATTAATAACATGAATAGAATTGTATATTCATACTTCTCTCTTCTCAATTAAGTTTCCTCCCTCCTCTCGTACTCTTTCCTAAACTCGTCGCTGAGTTTGAAGCTCTAAACCCAAAACTAAAATAATCACTTCTTTCTCAAATATGTCTTCTTGGTGAAAACTTAAAATCATAACCAATAAGCTTTATGGATGAGTTTTATCTGTTAGGCTTAAGAAATTGCAAAGAAAATAAATATTAAAACTCATCCATGATGGTTATGGGTTTCGAATTTAGGTTCCACCAATTCGACAAACAATTGAGAGAAGAGTGATGGTTTCAATTTTGGGTTCAAAGATTCAAACTCAGCGACGGGTTTGGAAAAGGAATGCGAGGGGAGGAGGGAAGCTTAATTGAGGAGAGAAAGGAGTGTGAATTTACAATTTTATCCACGTTCTTACCGGAAGTGTTAACAAAGGACCATTTGTGGAAATAAATATAACAATTGCGGACTAAATTAGTAATATTTGATATGTAAAACTAAATATGTAAAACGAACTATAACTGTGGATCTTTTATGGTATTTACTCAAATAAAATTGTTAACTATTTTCTTCTTTTTAGTTTTTTTGTTTCTTTACTTTTATTAGGAATAATAGTGATAATAGACATAAAATACTATTATTATTTAGTTTCCTTATTTTACTTTTGTCATAATATGTTATTCTATTTTGGTTAGAATTCTCCATATATTCTACTCCGTATATATTTATTGGCATAGCCTTCATAATTGAATAAGACCAATTATTATTAAATTATATCATGATATTAGAACTAAGGTATCTCTTCAAAAACCTAGTTTTTTTTTCGACCGTGCAACACCGTCGGTCTTCATCGACGGTCAACCACCACTGATTATGGTCTCATCGTCATTTATCCATCTTTTTCTTTCCATAAAGTTACGAGCATGCCTAATGGCCACCGTCACTTAGCTTATCCCTCTCTCTATATATATGAAAAAATTAGAGTAAATTCCATAATTGGTCATTTATAATAGGGGGGTTTCTCTATTTAGTCGTCTATTATCAAATATGTAACACCCGCCTTCCGTGGACCCGGTTCACCCGCGACCCGACGGACCGGTAGGGTTACATGGACAGTCCGAGAACCGTCCGTAGAAAAAACGCATTAATTTCTATTTATTATGTAACGGTTATGTTTAATTGATGAATTAAATGCTAGGGAATCATTTCCAAAACGTGTGTGATTTAAATGCAGAGTAAAAGCGGAAGTGAATAAATAAGTCCAAAATAGGTGAAATGACATATGATGGGTTCATGCCCAAATGATTAATTAATTCCAATGATTATAATTATTAAACTCGTCCGTGCGCCGCCCATCTTCCCATCATCACTGTCCTCCACGGTTAGCACCCGTACCGTCATGTCTACCTGCGTGTAGCAAAGAAAACAACTACACGCTCAGCAAAAGCTAAGGAGTGAATCTAACAAAAGAACATGAAGTGATAACCCATATGGTCATACACATATTAATACCTGTACTTAACGTACGGAAAAACACGTGTTTACTAACTGACTAATTTGTACTTGATGGAATATTATTACACATAACAAAATGATATACTACCACATTGAATATGGACATGATGAGGAACATACATGATGATGACAACCACATCGAATGTTGACGTGACATGAACATACAAGATGACGATATGACCTGATGCATGATACCCCTGACTTAGTCTCACTTGACAAGATCACCCCTGCACTCCGGTAATGAGTCAGGCTCGACAAAACGTCGCAAGTGAACTAGCAAAACTGGGTGGTAGCCGTAGCCTGACTACCATGTACGTACACAAAGCCCACTTGATGAAAACCCGTTGGATCCCAAGGGTTCCTGGACGGGCCCACTGTAGTAGGCGCACGAAAGCCTGACCTCCCTACAGCGGTATGCACATGATGATGAACCTAGGACATACGTCTAGGATGAACATGATGACATGAATGCATTGATTAAAGAAAGAAGTTAAATTTAACACATACATATGTGTTTGATTACAATTTGTTCAACATGATGGCCTTAGGTTCAGAACTTGCTGATAATCGATTGTCTACTGTTGATAATCGATTATCATGCTGTGCAGCTTTTGTCCCCAAAGTCCTGCAGGCTGTGATAGTCGATTATCACCCTATGGCAATCGATTGCCGAGTTGGTTTGTTCGGGAAGTCCTAAGTTCAGAGAGCCCTGATAATCGATTATTGCCTATGTGATAATCGATTATCAGTGAAGCCAACTCAGACCCAAGAATCCGCAGGGCCTGATAGTCGATTATCACATATGTGATAATCGATTATCACATATGTGATAATCGATTATCACGCTATGCTGAATCTACTGAGGAGTCCAGCGTGGCCTGATAGTCGATTGTACTATTCTATAACTCGATTATCAAGGCACGCTGACTTCCATTAAATCTGTTTGTTTGTCATCAAAACGTTGGAAGTTTTAGAAACGAATGTTTATATTTCCATGCTAGATAATCGAATAACTTACAAGGTTTCAAAACATTTATATTAACGAGAACACACTTGATAACATGGACACACGTATGTTGGATGGTTAACCTACGAACATGCATAGTTTCTACGTAGGTTGCGTACGATATTCCTATGAATATAACAACATAGATTATGTTAAAGTTTAAATAATTGGTTTTAAATTATTCCTCAAATTGTTATGCGTATTTACCATCATGGTAACTACTTCGGCTCAAATAATCTATGTAATTGGGTTATTCGAGTTGGGGTGTTATAGAGAGAGTGGGTGATGATGGAGACTTGATGGTGGGGGCTACAAATGTGAAGGAGGAAGGAAATGGGTTGGGGTTTATATTGTGTTTTAAAGGGGGGAATTAAAGAAGCTATTGAATGGACCATGATGGATGTGGAGAGGGGCCGAACCAAGGGACATGGGGGTTACAAATGTTTATTTTACTTCGTTATGTAAAATCTGACCTAAATGGTACGCGCTTTTTCCTCCGAACGGGTCCAAATTGAAAACCGTTTACGTTTTTGGAATCAGACAGTCAAAACAAATTTAATGACGTGTTCAAATAATTTTTCTAAGAACTTTTATTTTCCCCAACTCTGGACCAGAACAGTAGTTAATTATTTAAAATAATCAATTTTAGTAGACCGGGTTGTAGGGCGTTACAAAATATTACCTCAGTGGTCCTTCTTTTATGGGTATCTTTCCACAAATAGTCCTTTTTTTATTTTCTATTATGTTGGTGTTAATTTGAAGGCTAAAAGTGTAATTTCACAATGATAATACATTTTTTTTGTCATACATAATTCCAAAGGTTGTTCTGTTTGCATTGTTTGTGAATTACAATCGCTTTCTACTACAACTATAGTCTACAAATGTGGTCTTTCATCGAAATGCTAGCCCACAATCATAGTCATTATTTTTGCATTATCCGTTTAACCAATATCAGAACACGTCACTAGACATAATGTTGATGTCATATTATACTTTTAACCTTTAAATTTAAAAAGGACCATTTGTGAAAAGGAACCCTTAAAAAAGGACTACGAGGGTAATATTTGATAATAAAGGACTAAATAGGGAAACCCCATGTTATAAAAGACAAATTATGGAATTTACTCAAAAAATTATGACCGCACCTAACAGCCTCATCCCTTAACCCTCTCTCCCAGAAAAATAACGTGCGTAATTGAAAATCTAATAATAATAATAATAATAATAATAATAATAATAATAATAATAATAATAAAGGGATGATGGTGTGTTTTTATTTACCTTTATGATTTTGTCAAACCATTTTTTTCTTTATTTGTGTTATATATGTATTTAATCATATTTTGACATGTCTACAAAAAATGAAAACATTAAAGTAAAACAAAAGTAATAGCTTTTGTTAAGTATGGAAGGCTAAACATGAGCAAGTATATAATATTGTGTTTTTGCTTCAAATGAGAAAAGACTTGTGCATTTTTTTTATACTTCAGTAAACTTTTATTATTTCGAGCAATAACTTAATGTTTGGTTTCAAAGGGGACATCAACCGTTAAATGAATTAGAAATGATTTGTTTTTTTGGAAATCAATTAAAAAAATAAATTTTCTTTTAACGACATACCTTAACCAGGTATTGTCACGTTTTACTAAGTGGGTCAAACCAACCACTCAATAACGCCGGATCATTTGTATCCAAGTGAATGAACCTACAAATTAATAATCTACCACAACGTGTGTACGAGAACCCAACGATGATGCTGTGGGTCTAGGGTACACTTCTAATTGCTAGATTCGAGGTCACGACTAGTGCGGGGTTCCAGCCTAATCACGACTTTGTCTCTAAACTAAAGTTAACCTAGGAAGGCAGGGGTGAACACATACATACATACATACATACATACATACATACATACATACATACATATATATATATATATATATATATATATATATATATTTTATACAACTGTGGGGTGGGCCGCCCACAATTAGGCCCAAAATAATTTGTTCACAATAGGAAACAAATACAAGTCAACAAGAAAAGCTCCATTTTCCAGATGTAGTAAGCTTTCTTCCTTCTCCCTCCTGCGTGTGTGTTTAGGTGATGCACAACAATTGCGTATTCTCTCCTTTTCTTCGGCTCATATTGCAGCGAGAGGGTAGTTGGAACAGATCCA